CTTGCCTTGATTTGTATTTGACCTGATGCTAGAGGAGTGGGTGGAAGTGGTAATGGTTTGACTGTTAAAACTGTAAAACTGAGGGTGAGATTCCTGCCATAATGTGTATGCTGTTATTTAACATTAACGTACAAAATACATTTACTTTGGTGTCGGGTTCTGCAGGGATAAAAGAGGGGCAGAATCTGAAGATTGGGTGAATGGAAGTTTGTCAAGTTGTACTTTAAAGTCACGTTGAAGTCCTACTTTCTGCTTAGTCTTGTCTTTTTTTCTTCCCTCTCCTTTTTCCATTGCTGATGGCCTCAGGAAAGGTGGAGGAGGTTTTCTGTACTCTAAAGATGGGGAGATTGACTCCCTTGGGAAGGGTCATGGCAGCATTTTTTTAATTTAAGTAAATTCCGTGCTAACTAACGGGTATGTCTAGGGCAGTGTTTGTCTCGTTACTTTTAGGGGAGCTGTCTGTTAATTAATGGTGGGACTTGCAGACAAACACCCTTTCATTTGTGATCCACCATCCCTCTTCGGGGCACATCACAGTTGCGTAATTGTTGACAGCTTTGGTTAGTGTTAGGGAAGTATTTAATGTGCTTTCAAATTCATTGAGTAATTTAATATCTACGGACGTGGTGTATGACAAATAACTAACTAGGGAGCAGATGGTGAGTGGAGCTGTCGTTCGGCAGTGCTGAGGCCGGGCGGCCGAACCGGTGGTTTGCAGCCCACGTTTTGGCACGTGCCGGTCCTCGGTGAAGCCAAGGGTAGAGCCCTGAGGCTCGTGGTTCCAACCTTCGCTGCTGTCTCTTCTTTCTATTTGTTTGGGTTTTTTTTTTAGTTGTGGAGGGAATCTGTCAGTTTTAGTGTGATTTTGATCATCGTAAATCTTTCCTTTGCAGAAGTGCTGGATTTGGGGTTGTTTTGCCAACACGGCTGGGAGTAATGAAGGGATTTTGGTGGAGTGTTGAGCAATGTTTAGTAGACACTTTAAAAACAGAAAAATCCTTTTCATGGCCTAGTTTATAGTAACTTGAAAAACTGGCACGAAGAACATTTGCAAGTTGAAAATTAAACAGGTTTGTTTATAGTAGCCATGATTCAGTATTTAACTGCCAGGGTAAAAATAACCAAGACGTTGGCTGTAACGTTGGAGGATCTGCCTCTCTCTCGGGAAGCGGGGAGGCGATGGCTGCTGGGGAAGCACACCAGCCCTGGGCCGAAGGTGCTGGAGGTCACGCAGGCGTCTGCGCCTTTCTCTCCCAAACCCGTAAAATGCTGACGGCACGTTTCCCCTTGGAAATGTTAAATGTTTTGGTTTCCTCGTGGGAAAATCAGACTGCGAGAAAAAGGGAGGTGTGGGGGATGAGCGAGCCAGCACTCGGGAGGAGATCATTCCCTTTTTTCCTTCTTGGAAGTCGGGTGAGGGATGTTTGCTCCCTGCCCCTCTCTCCTCTATCCCAGGGACATCTTTCCCTGGGAACAGCAATAAGCGGAATAGATGTCAGGTTAACTGTGCGTGGCTGAGGCAGCTGCACCTTGGGAGGCCGTCTGACGTTGTCCCTAGGAAGTGGCGGTTTGGTGTGTGCTCCTTCGGTGCCTGTCTTGTCTGTTCTTTTTCACTCACCCTGTCCCAGACTGGGGCTGTGTCGTGCTGCCTGCGCGAATGGGCAGTCTGCATTGTCCTCTGCCTTCAGTCCTACAGCTGAGACTGTCAGCGCTTTCACTGAACATCCCTGGACCCAGGCAAGTGCATGTTCTCTGTTTGGAGACTCGCATCTTGTATTTGGAAAAATACCTGATAAGAATTATGACAGCATTGTTACTTGTTTCCAAACCATTTTGATTTCTGTGGCTGCAGGGTGGCATGTGCCTGTGGCCCTGGAGTGTTGGACGTATAACTGTTAAAAAGAAATACGTGGGGAAAAACCCCAAATTACTAGGTTTTCGTTTAAACTTTCTATGATTTTGACATTAAAACAGGAACAATTGCTGTTTTTATCCCTTGGAAGCCTTCAGAAACGCGCTTGGGAAGAGCAGGTGTAGCCACATAAAGCCGGATTGTCTCACCTGGGGCTGGAAGGATCAGGGACATGTCCCAAGGGCTTGTCTCGCTGTGCCCCTGCAGCACTGGCAGCGCAGGGAGAGCGTGCGAGATGGGGAAACACCACCTTGTCTTCCACCTCCTTGCTCAGGCCATCAAAGCCTGTGACCAGGACGGGACCCTCCTGCCTGGGCTTTTGAGAAGGATGGTGGCTGCAGGCCCAGGAGTCAGTGGGCATCGTTTTCCACCCCGGGCAGGGCTGGAGGAGCCAGACCCAGGGTCGGCAGTGAAAAGCTAAATAGGAGGCTTCCTGCAGGCTTCTGTGGATGTTGAGCTCCTCCTCCAAAGGCAGAGAATCACAGAGCTGTAGGCTTTCAGTAGTGAATGGAGGCTCTGGTGTAGCTGGCACCGAACCTGTAAGAGGCTGAAGGCAGAGGGCCCTTCGCCTGTCATAGCAGCAGGATGTAGCCGTGGCTGTGACGGCTCTGAACTGTCACTGCTGCTGCAGGTCAGTCTTACTGAGCTACCACAAGTATTGCAGTCTTTGAACACGTGTGGGCAAGGAGCCAGCGTGGTTACTGGGGCAGGGCGACGGTGGCGCTGGGACTTGTCCAGCTCTCAAGGATTGGCGAGATGCTGCATCCCCTGTCTAGGTGCCCCTCCATGCTCTTCCCCTCTACCCTTTTCTTTTTTCACGGCTTACAGATGCTCTGCAAGTAGCGTGACATGCGTGACATCTGTGCTGCCTTGGGAGGACAGCCTGTCCCTCCGTCCCACTGCCATGTGGGGCCACTTTGGTGGCCGGAGGAGGAAGCAGGGGCAGAGACGTGGCAAGGCTCGTGTGCGGGCTGGAGAGGTATGAGACCGGATGTCGGATTTGTTTCAGAGCAGCCCCGATAGCATCAGTGCCTGATGCCTCTGCTTCCTGCCTGCCATGGTACTGCGCTTGGCTCTGGCGTGCGGTGCGGCTGTGCCGCTCGGCTGCAGAGGTGCAGAGCGGTTGCGCAGGCGCCGTGTGTTTCTACGAGAAAGAAACCGGATGGATTCCACAAAATAATTTTACTCTGTGTGTGTTGCAACAGTCACTGGATTTTACTACTGCAAAGCCAGTTGTGAGTGGTTAAGTGATAGTTTATCCCCTTGAAAATCACTTAGGGTTGCTGGGCTACTTTAAACAGCACTCTTTTTTCTCTTGCACTCTTGATAGTGAAATGTTCTAAATTTTCATCTCCTAAAATGCTTTGAAAACTTGATACAACCTCAAACAGGCTTAAGCTGACCTCAGTTTGTCTTTTCTAAGTGAGGCCTTCTGTAGGGTAGATTAGGGAGAAGTCCAGGAACATGATGGTTTGGTTTGAGCAGTGCCCATCTCTCCTGCAGGAGAAAGTTGTTGTTTGTCATAGGAAAAGCAAACTGCAGGAGCGCAGGAAAGAACCTGGAGAGCACGGGAAGCTCCCGAGTGCTTGGAGATGTGTAGCAGCCGGCTTTCGGGTGAGGGTTTGATTAATCCAGTTTGCCAGGATGGATGGAGTCTGTTAATCTGTTAAAATGTGGCTGTGTCCGTTTAAACCTACCTCTTGGACATGTGCTCAGTGCACAGTGGAAGCCCAGCCAGCAGCCTCGGTGGCATTTCCAGCCCTGTTTCAGCTGCCATGGAATGCCAGTGCCTGTCCGGAATGCCAGCGCCTGTCCGGAATGCCACCGCTGCCCTGCAGCAAGTGGGAGCTGCGGAGGAGCAGATGCCTTCCCTCTGCCCTGCCTCCCCCTCGCCTCTCCATCCATTCTGACTCATTTAGTACTGACTCCGTTTTTAAATATCTTTGCTGATCTGCTGTCTTCAGCGTGTTCTTCAGAAAGACGTTTCCCCAGGTTTCGGGGGTCAATCTTTCCCACACTGGGGCAGGCACGGCGTGTTGTAAATGCGAAGGCAGCGGGAGGGAGTTCAGTGTAAGTTGGAAGGAGGGATGTGGGAGCCCAGATTGTCTTGAGTTTCAGCAGGAGTTGGTCGTTGACCTGTCAGAATTCCCACGCCTGGGTTAGCTGAACAACGAACGGTCAGAAATGGAGGGAGGAGAGCTGTCAGTGTATGTGGGGATGGAATCCGTCGTATTGAGGTAGGAGGTGTTTCCAGAGGAAAGACAAAAAGCGAGACTTTGGAAATGGGCGTAAACCTTGTGCAAATGCAGTGATCAAATAGCAGGTACAGGGAGTTGTGGACAGAAGTAGCAATTTAGCATAATCCAGTAAAAATGGATACAAAGAAAACAATGGACAAGCTATTTCGATAATGACGTGAGAACAGCACAGAAGAGGAGAGGAGTACTTCTCCCTGCGATGGCAATCTTTTCCCTCCATGTCTGCGGACTGTATTTTGTTGCCAGCAAGTCTGGTAGACAGAAATTGGGAACTTGAAATTTTAATTTAAAACCGCAGGTAAGCTGTGCTCCTCACTGAAATCTGGAGGCAGGAGGCTGAGCAGCCCTTGCCTGCGCCGACCGGAGCTATGGAGCGAGCTGGAGGTCGGTCCTGCACTGCTGCAGCTCTTGTGCTGGAGCGTTTCGGCTCTGCAGCTCGGCTGCCTTGGCCCAGCCTGCCCCGAGCGAGGGGTGCGCCGTGGCTCTTGGAAAACCAGACCCGTCCGTGCGGTTACTCCGTTTTCATGCTGAAGCTTCGTCACTGGGTGTGAAGAATTAATAGTAACTGGTAGTTAACCAATAGTAACTGGTTTGCTATTGGTTTCCCTGGAATCCCCCAGTCCTTCCCTGTCCCGGGGGTGAGTTTAGCTTGTGCTGGAGTTCTTGTTTTTAAGGTAATTTGATTTGAGTACTCAGAAATTGCGTAGAGCTCTGTCAATAAAGCAGAGAGCAGATTTTGTGATCAGCGTGTTTTGGTTTGGAACTCTTTGATGCCTACATATCCTGTCAATTGAAAAATGATTAATAATGCTTTTTCTTATCTTTTTCAGTCCCTTGTAGGGAGCCCGGAAAAACCTTCAGTAGGGCTGCTAACACTGATGAGAGATCTTTTATGCCAAGGTATGAGCTTTTTAATGTTCTCAGTGTATTTCAAATGAAATTGCGAACTCTGGAAACATTGGCACTGGGGAAATTTGAGAACTGATGTGTATAACATATTGTTTAAAATGAAAAGTGGCCTGAACCTTGTTTCCTGTAATGGGGAAGTTCCTGTGTTCTGTCTTTCCTGATGTCCTCTGCTGTTGTGCAAATACACATCTGTGATTACAGTCCACGTTTTTTAAGGCTGAGTCAAGAATTTGTCTGCTTTGATTTTGGTTTTTTGATAGCCTTTTGTTGCCATCGTAGCTCACAGGGGTTGTGTCGTCACTTACGGCCACCTCCACATCAGGTTATGTGAAACCAGCAGACCGCGTGCTCGCAGCTCTGTTCCTCGCTCCGAACCTCTGTTCCTATGCTCCAAGCAGCATATCCGCACCCGCAGTTACTCCTAGCTCCATCAGGGTTTGGAGAAGGAAGGAGAAACTCATGAATGCCAACTGCCGCCTTCAGATCTGCGCTCGGGCGTTTGCATTTCGCAGGGTGCAGGCCACGTTTCAGGTTAGCGTGTGGTTCTTTCACCCTCTCTCTCTCAGTGCTGTGTTGGCTTCTCTTCCCTGTTTATGCTTCTCTCTCCCCACCACCCAAACTATAAAATCCTTGATGAGCTGGTAAAACTTCTGTAACAGGAGCGGCTCAGTTTGGTGCCAGGTTTATTTCCCAAAGGGTCCCGGCCGTTCTCCTCGTGCCGCCCTCCCTGCAGCCTCTGCCTGGCTTCTTCCGCTGGTTGGGAAATACCCCGAAAGTTTTGCGTCTCTGTACCCTGATTCAGCTGCTGGGTTGCAACAAGGCAAAAGATGATTCGTGCAGCTAAGGGAGTGTGTGAGTGCTCGGCTGAATAAAGCGGCAGCTGAGTGGGTGCCTGGAGCCCTGTGTCAAGTTACAGCTTCATCTGTGTTTGCATCCATCTGCTGGTCCTTCTCTGAGATCCTTCTGCCATCCTGCCGGCACTGCCTTGCATTTTTCTAGGTTAAAACAAATACCCTGCAGTTTTTCTTTTCCTCTCCGTCTGTTCACAGGGAATGGCCTTTCACTCCTTCAGGAGAGAGCTGGGCAGTTTGGGACTGATGCTGTGAAATCTTGAATGTCCCTTTCTGTCACTTCCCAGGCAGTGCTGGTGACAGCAGCAGCAAAGAGATGCCCTTGTTAAAAAATGAGTTTAATCCTGAGCTGTCAGGTGTTTTGCAGTATAGAAGCAAGTTTGTTCATGGTTATAGATGAAATCTGAACCCTAGTAATTTATTACTCTGTGTTTAAAGTGGCTGTACAGGTGCTGGCCAGGTTGGAGAGTCCAGTACAGCAGGGAGGAGGGAGCCTGCCGCTCAGGGCAGTGATGGTGGGTTGGTGTGAAACGTGCTCTGTTGTCCTGCCAGTGCCTGTCTGCGTATGGGAAAAGGGAGCATGAGCAGGAGACATGCTCAGCTTTTGCTTTCTTTTTATTATTTAGCGTGCAGATGAGACCAGTTGCACATTTAGGCAACAGTAGAAGTTATTTCTTTACACTCTTAGTGATCGTATTCTATTCTTGAATCGAAAGAAACACTTAACACCCATAATTTCATACCATTTAGAAACACAGCCGTTGCTTCAGAGCATGCAACTCCGCTGCACAGGGCTCTGGATGGCAATGAATGCTACTGTGTCTGACTGTTTTTAGGTGGGCATAAACAGTTGCCAAATGAAAAGTTGGCTAGGATGCAGCATAGTAATTTCTTGAGCACTCTATTCATGTTGTATAAACAGATAACATTAACATACTTGTGAAAGAGCTACAAGATAATTAAGGCGTGTGGGGTTTACAGTAATGAGGCTCATGCGTTTCAGGATCTCGGTTTCCTGTTGCACCTGAAAAAAAAATAAATCAGCAAATGCTGTAGAGAAGAAATGAGAAGTTAGTCTTGTACTGCTCCCAGCTGAAACTTTCCCACAAGTATTTTTACTATAAATAAGAAGTGAAAGAGTTCACAGCTAAATTTAACCCTTAGCTTGATGGCGTTCTGCGTTTTCTTGGGCGAAACAGGCTGTGGAACTGTAGGAAGGTGAAGATAGACTGGATCAATAAGTCGGGTTTATACTTTATAAACAATGCATTGCCTTTTAATTTCTAAGGATTATTAAGGGGAAGGCATTGCTAATTGGAATTCCCCTTTCCTTCCCATCCGAAAATCATGATTTTTGAAAAAAGGGAACTGAATGTTACTTCTTGGGGAAATTTTCAAGCTTACAGCTGCCGGAATTTTAACCAGAGATGTTGCCGGTGTACTAGAGTGCGTAGACTTTGCTTGCTCTGCCTTCAGATACTCAGAGTTGCCATTCTGGAAAACCCCTTTTGGTTTGACTTAGTTTCATAGTTTCTATGAAATTAGTTGGCTGCAGCTCATACGGGTTTCAGGAGATGAATAAAAACCATCCCAAGGTGCTCAAAACCCTGGGGTGTTGCTGCTAGCTTCGGCTGTATTCCCCCTCTCGGGTTTGGGTGAGGGAAAGGCAGCTGGACCGCGGAGAGCCTCAGCACGGGCAAACGAGCCCTGTATTGCTGCTTTTTGGACTTAAAATGAGCCTGAAGTGGGTGGTAAGCTGGCTGCCGAATTGCAGGCCTCGCTCCAGCAGCGCGTTATCTTTGTTTGAACCTGTGCTTGTGCCACGTTCAGGCCATAAAAGACGCTGCAGTTGAGGGGTGAGGGTTAAAAGTAGGATGCTTGGGCGAGGGCTGAACGCAGCTCTGGTGGGGCTGGCTACGGGTGTGTGGCAGCATGTGGGTTTCCTCTTGTCTCTCTTACAGCTTTCCCTTGGCAGTTTGAATGACAGAAGAAAGACCTGTCCCGATTTAATGGTTACATAAAGTTGAGACACAGATTGTCAGGGACTTGTCCACAGTTGCAAAGCTAAAAATACGACCCCTGTTCTTCGCAGACGGTTGTTAACAGGAGTCGACAAGGTGATACATTTCTCTGTCGAACTCCTTGGAATACGTTTTTATTTTTAAAGCAGTTCCTCAAACTGTAGCCAGCGAACCCATAAATCCTGTGGCAACGTTAGTTTGAAATGCCTTGGAGAAACGCAGCGTGCCCAGCCTCATAGCGCTCGTGTTTCCGAAGCCTTACTTGGGAAGAAAGCGCTGTCTGGCTGGGGGGAGATAATTAGCTGCTGAGGTCATTGTTTGCTTGAGCTCTGTTGATAGGGACAGCCCAGCTTGACTTATAATGTAAACACAGTGTAAAATGTTTATCACCGGCTTTGTCATTTGCCTTATTTGTCAGGGAATCTCGCTGAGAATGAGGAGTTTTCTGGTGCTGGGGAGCAAGCGGAGGGAGTTGCAAGATTTCCATAAAAAGGCAGAGTCCTTGCCTGGGCGAGCGGAGAGGTTCTGCCTTGGCAGCCGCGAGTTAGGCCTGACCTTTTCCAGAGAGAAAATACTGACCTAAAACCTTCCCTGCTGGGGTGGGCGGGAGAAGCAAATCACTTTTCTGACCTAATTTTGTTGTCCAATACTCGCTGGTTTATGCTATGAAAAGCTGGGAATGCGGAGGACCAGCGGCGAGAGCTTGTGCCACCCGGCACAGCTGGGAGTGGGAGCGTGTGTTTGTACCACGGTGTGTGTATTCATTCATCCTCTTCCTCTCCGAGCACCGGCAGGCTCACAGGCGTCTCGGGATAAACTGGGGCTGTCGGAGAAGCTGTCTAAATTTGAGTGCCCAGGTGGAAAAATAAAACCGTGGCTGTTACTTAAGGAGACGTTTGTTCTCAGCAGTGCGCAGAGAGGGCAGCGTGTTGCTGCCGTCAGAAGACACTGTCATAAGCTTGGACGTGCAGGTACGTGTGTAACTGTTCCTGTTCTTCCTGTTTTCCAGACTGTCGCTGTCTGAACAGACCACACCATGCGTGAGTACAAGCTAGTGGTCCTTGGTTCAGGAGGTGTGGGGAAGTCCGCTTTGGTGAGTTTTGGGAAGCAGTTCTGAAACCGATACACAACCTTCAAAACTGGCCTTACTGCAGACAGCGCTCACTGAATGCGTTGGGATAGCTGTGTCGTTTGTAAGGCCTGTAGCCACTGCTGCACCCCTGGAACACCTGTGAACGTGCCATGTTTTGGAGAAGTAATCGCTGTTACAACAGTATTTCATTTCTCCTTTCTGCACGGGTGCAATCTTGTAAACGACTGGATGTGTGCAAGCGTTAAACGCCTCACCCGCCGTGGAACAGAGGGAAGTCTTGCTGTGCACAGCAGTGACGGCTGCAGCTTTGCATTCCTTGAAAGCTGGGTGTTTTCCACCCGGGATAGAACCCAGATGAGCAGCCTGGACTGAAAACACGGGGCAGAACGGGAAGTCGCCTCCAGCACGGGCAGTGCAGAGGGATAAGCAGCCTGATGACACTTTGCACTCCTTAAGCACTTGTGTTGTTTCTAGAAGAGGTTTACATAGCAGAGTTGATAGTAAAGCATTGTAAGAGATTTCTGTCACCTGTTTATCACGCATCAGTCAAGCAGCTCCAAGAGAAAGGCAAAGAACTGGTCAAGTGTAAAGTTATCTAAAACAAGAAACTACACCATGTTCCTTTTCACAGAAGAGGTTAATGGCTGACCAGCCGTTCACCGCGTGGGTGCTGCTTCTTGCACCATTGTTTATTCTGCTGAAGTGGGCTGCTGATCATCTTGGTAGATCACCTGCAGAATCCAGATGAAGAGGAGGAAAGACTATTCAGTTTTATATGGGATTTAATGTACTCTCTGAGATCCCATCCTAATTTTTACAAGATGTAGGTGTCAGGCTTTTCGATGCAGTCTGTTCTTCCGTAGCAACTGCAGAATCAGTGTTACTTTTTCCTTGATTATCTTGGTTTTGTCACGTGACATTGAAAGACTCACTGAGTAAAACAGAGCATTTATTAACATGCTGTACGTAAAGATTATTCGCCATCTGACATACTCAATTTCCCTATTTGCGATGGGAAGCCTGAGACATTGTCTGTCAATGGCCATTTTAAAAGCTGAAACGTGATTATTTAGTCTGGTAAACAAAAGCTAAATTATTTTTGACAGCCTAGGTGCTAAGCAAGCATATGTTGTAATTCCTGTGCAACACTGATCCGTTATGTTTATAACAGGACACGGAAAGTGCCAGTTAGCCCCCAAGAATGAATAACATTTAGCTTTCAGGATGACTGTCTACTTATTTACAGGCATTAGCAAGGAGAGGTTCCCAGGTGGGGTTTAAAATAATATGGAGGTCACTTTAACATCTCTTTCTTCAAACTGTATAAACGACAAGGTCTGACAAAGAGGCTGGTGTTCGTTTTCAGCTCTGTGTTTTCACTGAGAGTGTAGATTACAATACGGTGTTGTTTCACTGCAAATCCTCCTTATTGTGTCAACTCTTCTGTGCCCGTATGATGCTGATGGTGCCTTTTGGAAATGATGTCAGCGTAGCAAAACCCCCTTTGTAGCTCCTAGGGCACAGTTACTGCTCAACTTCTTCATAAGCGTTTCCTGTACAGTAGTTTTTGCCTCATTCCTAATGAGAGTGCAAGTCTCCTGGAGATCAGTGCTACCAAGAGCATCCGGTCGTGCGCTGGGCTGTACAGAATTGGAAACTCAAGTTGGGATGCACAGCCGTCAAACCAATGAAAAGTTAGAAAAGCATTGGATCCACACAATAACCTGAGAACAACCCCAGATTTCTATCTTATCCCTTGGCCTCACTTTCCTCCAATAGCCAATAAAAGTGAAGTGCATCAGCAAATAAGAGTATTACGTAGTAAGAGAGCAAGTGGCAAATCTTAGCAAATAGCAGCCTCCGTTGGACTCTCTTCGGTCACCAGCTGTGCTAAGATTCCTAATACACAATCCATAACCTGCAATTCCTACTGTCGGTTCCCACTGCTGGTACCACCGTGATCCACGGAAATAGTGGTATTTTAGTGATTTTGCTGAGATCTGCTATCTGAAGGGCAGGCTGGGACAGCTGTTCAGTGCGACAAGAAAATATTGGAGAAGCGGAGGCTTTGATCATTAGAGTGTAAAATGGGTTTATTTAACAATATAGGATGACTTTTAAATGAGGTCGTGCTAGAAATCTTTTCTTCTCACATTAAAAGGCAGCAAACCATGAGGAACTGCCCAGTTTCCAGTGTGCAGGGAGATGTTCTGCCTGTACCTGGCCTATGCCGCTCTGGTGGTTTGCAGGTACCTGTATGGCCAACGTGAACCCTCCCGCAGAAAACTCCCAGCCTTCTGTCCAAACAAAACACGGCGTCTCGCAGCAGGTAGTGACCTGGCAGAATTTGTATTAAAAACCCTTGTGGCACGTTCAGCTGGCTGAAGATAGTTGGTGCGTTTGTGGATTTTGAAGAGCCAAAATTAAGTGCTGGGATCTTGGCGCTTCGTTTTACAACCCCCTCCCTTGTTTTACGAACACCAACCAAACCTGGACGCTCCGGTGCTGCGTTACTACGTTATCCCAAGTGATTGTGGGTAAGGGGATGGGGACGCAGGGTGACAGGGAAAGGAAGACTGTGCCTGAGGAGTGCCGGGAGCCAAACACAGAGCTTGGATGTCCAGCGATGGGCCGCATCCGAGTGACAGCTGGATGGGAAATGTTTAGGGTACGTTTGCTCAGAATAATTATATAGGGGGAAGAAAGGCTTCCACTTTGAAATGAATGATGTCTCCTACTTCAGCTGTCTGATATAAACTGAGTAGCTGGAGATGCTCCAGATCTAATCGCTGCTCTGAAATACGCCTGTGCTCTGGGTGTGTAATCCAGAGTAGCTCCACCATAGCAGTGTGGGTTTTCCACAGCGGACAGGTTGCCAGTTCTTCTGGTGAAGTTTCAAGTCTTCCGTATTTTGTGATTTTTCTTCTTCTGAAGTCGCAGACACTGAAGTAAATGTGGTTTTGAGGATATCATCTTTTATGAAAAAGCAAGCAAACACTTTATGGTTCAAAAAGGTTTTGAAAACGTGCTTGAATAAGGTGATTCTTAAACCAACAGAAACTATGCAAATTTAATTAAAAACATGTTAAAATGTGTATGTCTTTTACTCCAGTCCCTACTTTTCAATCCTAACAGCAGCACTGAGTAATTGTTGTTACATTTTTATAAAGTGCTTCTTGGTTAATGTTACTGGTCACGTTCACTTCACCAATTTTGTTCTTCTCTCCTTTCTCCCCAGACTGTACAGTTCGTTCAGGGAATCTTTGTTGAAAAATATGACCCGACAATAGAAGACTCATACAGAAAGGTAAAATAACATGATCTTTTTCTTTCAAGTCTCCTAGAACTTGCTTCTTTTTAATAATAGAGCAGAAGCTTATGGGAATGAGAGAGGGTCTTTTCTGCAAAAATGTTAGGGCTGCGTAAATCCGCAGCAGGAAAGCAAGGCACGGAGAGCATCAGGTTTGGGAATGGTTCCACACAGCTGATTTCCATTGGCGTCGCAGAGTACTTCACTAGCAATCCAACAAACTGTATCAGCTACTAGAAAGCTGAATTATCAGGGGATGACACATTTTGCCGTTAAGTGGACCACTCCTTACCTTAGTTCTGTTTAAGAGGAGGGTTAAACCTCCCTTACTCCATACAGCCAAGAGCTTTTGCTTTAAATCTCCGATGCGTCAAGTTGAGGCAGTTTGAGGCTGCAGCTCTCCAGTGTTTCGCTGCTGTCGTTAGAGGTTACTACACCTGCCCAGAGATCAGCCTGGCCTATTTTCCGTCACCGAATTCCGCTTGTACTGGGGGACAAGAACAGCTCAACCAAACTGGGGTCAGACTGTCACTCACATGTTTGCTGTAATTTAACATATAATTATTACTTCAAAACATAAAATGTCAGTATTTGCTGGGCGTGTGCTGTCTGTAGGAGGCGTTACAGGGGGTATATATACACCATTCATCGCAGTAGGTTATATTACTGTGGTACAGCAATTGCATTTTGCTGGTTTCTTTTAAGAATGGCTGGTTTGCCATTTAGCTCAAACGCGTTCTTGCTTTGAAGGCAGACAAAATTCCTCACAACCCTTTTGGATGCGGGCTTGTAATTGCCGAGCACAAGTCCTTGTCAGGGTCCCTGACGCTGTGGTGTTACGTAATGCTGTCAACAGAGCTGCTTTCTTTGCTCGATTGATGTCAAGTAACCCATTGTTTTACAGATTAGCATAAATGTTGCCATAATTAAAGGCACCAAAGCAGAAAACAAAACCCTTTAACATTTGTGCCTGTGATAATTAAATGGAAATTGTGGCATGAGTTCTGCTGTTAAATTTATTTGACTTTCCTGGAATTACCCTCCTTGGATGTGAGACATTTCTCAGTGAGTGGAAGGCTTGCTAAGCCTAGCTCTAGTCAGGATGGATTTTTCTCTCACTGAAGTTGGGATGTTTACAATGAGCTGATCATTTAGGCCTCTGTAATCAACGGAGTCCTGGAGCCCAAGTGAGCTGACCCAAAGGCCTGGCTTGGGGTGTAATTCATCCTTTATTAGTTCTGCCTCTCTTAGTGCTGGGGGGGTGTGGGGGGCTGGCTTGCTTACAGAGGTCTTTGCACCAGGGGTAAAAACTAAGCTGAGATTCCTCTTGTCTGTCCCGTTGCAGACTTTTAACTGTGTTTGTCTCTTCCCTTTTTTCCCCAGCAAGTGGAAGTAGACTGCCAACAGTGTATGCTTGAAATCCTTGATACAGCAGGGACAGTAAGTAAAGTTCTTTTTCTAAGTGGTATGGAGTTTCTTTGTTAAGGAGGAGGTGAGGTGTTAAGAGTAGAACTTAGACTAGTATAATAATTCTGCCCAAACGAAACCAAGAGATCAGCTGCAGTAATTTAAATTGAGCAGTTCTGTTAAATAACCCAAACCCCATGGTGGTGAGTGAGCCAGCAGCGTTGTGAGCCCGTTCCCCAGCTGGTGCCCCAGTGCCGGAACACAAAGGTCTGTGCATCCTGTGCCACTCACCTCTCCCCTGCCACCCACCATCGTCTCACTATCAACGTACTGGTACGGGGTAATTTTACATGCTCATTTTGCAAGTGCCAAAATACACAGACACAGGTTGAAGCCACTTCCAGGCAGAGCACAGGGATCGATCACCTCCCAGCACGTCACATCGGCCTGCGTTGAGAGGATTTCATCGGTAAAACTTCATACCCATCAGGGAATACTCCTCCAGGCAGGTGGCACCACCCTGGCGCTGCCACGTGCTGCCTTGGGATGCCCATGTCGTCCTTCCAGCCTGGGAGCAGCGAATCCCTTTGCCATGCCGGTGCCACTTGCCATCCTGCAAAGTCCTGTCACTGAGTAAACAGACCTTGGGCTGGTTGGGTGCACATCGCAGGGGGCGGACATAACTTCCTAAAAGTTAGTTTTATTTAGGAAGCTTTGAAAATTATCCACAGCAATGCGAAGGCGTGGACGCAGAAATCCTTGTTCTGGCAGGCGAGGGCAAAGGCAGCTCCGATCTGGCACAGATTTTCCAGCCTGTGCCCGCATTTCATGGCGTTGAACCTTTAAGCTATTTTCAGGCTAGACATGACTGCTGTATAGTGGGATATGGTCAGAGGTGATCAGGCAGTGCCTTCCCACGAGTGGTGCTCACCATCAGCTGCGAGTATGTGACGCCTAGGCCTGTCCCGATATCGTGGTAGAGGAGAAATTGCATCTGCAGTCCGTATCTGTTTATTTTAATGGTTTATTGTAATGCCATCAGACCAATCAGGGGGATTGGTCTGATGGCAGACTCGTGTTTAACACCGTATCAGAAAATAAACAAAAGTTCACTACAAAGTATTGTCAAGCAGATCTTAACACCTTGGGGCATACAACAGTCCATCTGCAGACGCATTTTTATTGCTGCTCTTGATCTTTTTAACGTTTTTCAAGAAGCCTTTTTCTCTATTAGAGGGGAAAAAAACCAAACCCAAAGGCAAAGAGATGTGTTAAAGATTTTATTAAGTTTGCATGCTTCAGTGGATCTCTGTAAGGGATGGCAACTACAGTGCGATACACTTCTCCATTACAATAAACGTATTCCTGTGTAGATGTTGATTAGCTGCATTCACTAGCTAATTACCTTTAAAAATATTGGTTTACAGGAGCAATTTACGGCAATGAGGGATCTCTATATGAAGAATGGTCAAGGGTTTGCACTAGTATATTCTATAACAGCACAGTCCACGTTTAACGACTTACAGGACCTGCGGGAACAGATTTTACGGGTTAAGGACACTGAAGATGTAAGTAGAATATTTCATCGTTTGCAAATGTTTAAAATGCTTTTGTAACTGAGGAATCTGTGGGCAAAACTTCTTTAAAGAATGTTCTTTGCTGGATAGCAAAGTTTTGTGTTGGACTTAAGTTTCCTGAGCATTGTTTGTCATCTGTGGTGGTGTTACTGGAGGTCCAGCACCTGGCAAGCGGCATACTGAAGGCAGATTTTCACATGTGCTGGAAAGCACACAGTCTTGGAAATGGCAGGAGTTGGTCGGAAAAACGCCCTTCGTTTTCACGTGCGTGCGTGAGCAGGGAGGGTTCAGCTGCGCTCTGCAGCACGCCTGTCCCCGGGGCTGGCGGTGGCACGCTGCAGACAGCCCCCACGGCTTTTACACTCTCGGCAGTTTTCTTTGCTCCGTCTGTCATTTGGCAGAATCTGTAACCCGGAGGAGACCAGGTGGGAACTCTCTCTCTCTGTAGGCTTCCTCCAAAATAACCTGAAATCAATTTTATTCTGGCCTGATGGTAATGCATTCAAGGGTCTGCCCTGAGGAGAGTGAAGGGTTGCCTGCTTTTTGCACTGACAGCTCAAAAGTAGCCACTGCCTTTGCCGATGGCTTTCGGGTGGTGTTGGCCCCTTCCTGGCTCCCCAGCTGAGCTGTGGAAGCCCCAGCAGCCCCTCACTCGCAGCCGTTACCCCCTTCCAGCGCTCTGGGGGCAGTGCTGGTGGATAAACGGGGCTGGGACACCTATTTAGGCCAAACCCTCGGTAAGCCATGTGCATTGTATTTAAATAACTGCTCAGGAAAATGCTGTTGGAGCACGAGCAGAGTGTGGTGGGATGCACGCAGCCTGCGGCTGAGCTGCTGTGAGGCCAAGGGCGAGCTCTTGGGCCGCTTCCTTCTCTGGGATCTTCACTGCTCCGTGTCCCGATTGCCCTGTTTTGCACGGCGTTGGTTCCCTCCTTGGTTTAACAAGCTGAACTTCTATTTATACAAAACTGCTTTCCATTTAGGTAGGGATTATGCTTGCGTAAATCCCCGGTAGCACGAGTCCTTTATTAGCCTCCCGGTCAGAGCCCAGCGCTGCGCTGGCTGGAGGGGAATTTGCACCGTAAGCTGGTCACGTTTGGCGGACAATAGAGACTGTTGCTTTCGGTTTGACCTCAGCGATTTGATTTAATTATTAAAATGCATTTATTTATTTTGTGTTCGGGGGATGTTACTTGTTGAATCCAAGCATGAGAATCTTTTGAGCGTTTAAGCCATGTTCTGCTGAGTTAGGAAACTGCACTCCTTCCTGTTTTAGTTTCAGAATGTGTCTTTTGAAATCCCAGTTCTTACGCCATTAAATTATGTATGTCTAACGAAGCTGAAATTCCAGTCTTCTGCATGAAGTAGAGCAAAAGCTAGTTGTTCATCAAAATGGTCTTGGCTCAATGATAAACATCTACTGCCTTTTGAAATAACATTGCAGTGTTTTGTGTCTTTCAAACCTGTACACTTTACCTATCTATCGGTTTTTTCCCTCTTATTTCACATCTTAATATGCTTTATTTTCTTGCTGAACATGTTCATAACACATTTTCATGTTTTGGTATGAGAAAATTTCTCTTAACTGTCTAGAAAACTAAAGAACGGGGTCAAGCTGATGCAGTTGTAAATACCCTGTTGGTCTCTGATGTGAAATAGGCTTTTTTGGGTTTGCTTCATCTCCATCGTGACTTCAGGTTTTTGATGTAGTAAGTAAAACTCACTTCTTAAAAACCAAAAATGGGATCTTTTTCTCATCAGTATGGCTGTGAGTTTTAAATATAAAAATGAATCTTGAGTGTAGTTGAATCGGGATGAGACCACAAATACTAACATTGAAGTCGATTAAGAACGTAGTGTGTCGGAAATTACCAAAGGAAGCGGATAATGATTTATTTTCCAGCTGGAAAGTACTCGTTTTCTGTTCAAAGAATTAAACGCTGCAGGAAATGGAGTGGGTGCACACCCAGTATCAGCAGTTCTGCAGGGTTTTTTTCTGCTTTCGCATAGCGTAAGGGAAACAGGATGCTGTCGATGCCGTGTGCACGCAGAGCGCTGCAGAGCGTCCTGCGGACCTTGCTGCGGTCTCGCGTTTCAGAATCCACCTTGGCTCTGGCTGTATCGTCCCCCAGGATCTGAGAGAGGCAGGCTGTTAAAGCCAGCTGCAAAATGATATGGAACACGCAATTCTCGGGCGTAGAAAGTCCTGAACTGCATGTCCGTCTCCAAACGGGCTGTGAAAAGGGGTGGGCTGGGGCTGGGGAGTGTGCGGGGTTGGGCCGGGTGCCCTGGGTGCCCGGTCCTGGAGAAGGGGTCTGCAGGAGCGGCAGCTGGGGCTGCACTGCGATCCCATCGTTTGTACATAGGAAATGGCACCTGGGGGGGTGTAGTTTGGGTTGTTATGGAGGGGTTTTTTTAGCTGCTTTGGGTGTTATTTGCTTGTTTAAGGCCTTTTCTACCTATTTGTGACATCTCAGTGGGCTGCAGCTGTTGCAGACTGCCTGAGAAGCACAGAAAGCCTCCTGAAATTATATATCCGGATGCTGTTTCTAAGATGTCTTAGTACTGGTTTTAATCTACGTTTTTGCCCTATTTCTTTCTCCTGAAAGTGTTTTAACTCAACACCTAAACATAACCGATGAGAGGAAGTGTCTTGCTGCTTACTCGCCAGCGCTCACTCTGATCCTTTCCGAGACAAACAGATTCATAACTTAATGAGTGCAGACTGCCCTTGGCACTCCGCACTGCGCCAAGTGAATACAGCCGCAGCACCGGTGGGAAAGGTCCCTTCCAACCCAAACGACTCTATGGTTCTATGAAACCAGTGAGCTGCAGCTGAGCAAGAGCCCCGTTCCATTCTGTGGGCCCTTGTGCAGTTAGTGGGAGGGCTGGGCGATCCGAGGGAGCCCTCCTTTCCGTGCAGCCTAAGGCAAACACATTGGTAATAAGCATTTACTACAGCCAAGGTCTTTTTCCTATGGTATTAGATGTCTCTTTCTCTGTAGGAAATGTCACAAGGCCTGTGGTTCCCCCAAGGCACTTTCTTCCTCATGAAGGAGCGAGAAGGTGACTCACTCAGACACGTTGGAAAGCCAACAGCTTCAGGAGAGGGGCAGATGCCCTTTCGTCATTGCCTTATTTGCATCATGAGTGTAGGATGAATCTTTTGACCAGGTATCAACTGTTGGGTTTAATATTCCATGAGGTTGTTCATTGGAAGTGACGTCCTTTCAGGAGCTGAGCTGCTGGGTGGTCATCAGTGGAAATCTCACTTATTCAAAGTGAACATGGAACACAGGAGTGTTTGTGCCTGTTGTAGTGAACATCCTCTATTCTGTGTGCATAAAAAACAGGCCAGGAGTACGATACTGTATTGAGGTGAGAAGGGCAGGTGGTCCTGTGTGGGAATACTTAGCTGTGCAGGACTATTCCCTTTTATTCCATGTCTGGGGCGGTGCTTTTCGAAGGTGCTTCCGTTTACTGTTGTGTGGCTCGACAGCAGGTTGACAAGCCAGGTCAAGGGGGCTGGAACATGCAGTGTGTGTCTGAAAACCCGTGCGTTGTGTTCCGGTGTCTGGGGTAGGCAGAGCTGGCAGGCAGTTTAGCCTTCCACCACACAGAAGTCCTGAAATGCATTTCAGTAGTAAGCTCAGTTTCTGACTAGAATGGTGGGGTTGGATGTAGAGACCAGAAAAATAATCTTTACTAACATAAGATGGTGCTGAAATACTGCCGTTTGGTTTTACCGTGTCCTCCATGTGTTTAATTCTTGGTGAACCAGGGTGTCTGTGGTCCTGACTTTCTTCAACCTTTTCTCAGCAGGCACCTAAATTCCAGCCTAGTCTGTGAGCTCTGCTGAACTTGTGATTCGTAGTCTTTTTCATGCCGTGTTTCCCCCCTCCTCACATGCCCTTGTAGGCCGCAGCGTTACGGCCCGCGTTGTATGTGAACTTGCTGATGTGTCTCTTGTTCCTCTCTCCAGGTTCCGATGATTCTGGTGGGCAATAAATGTGACCTGGAGGAAGCGCGTGTAGTCGGCAAAGAACAGGGTCAGAACTTAGCAAGACAGTGGTGTAACTGTGCCTTTCTAGAATCGTCTGCAAAGTCTAAAATCAACGTTAATGAGGTAACTATCAGCTGTTCCCTTGTCTCTCCTACTTCAGCACGAATGCCGCATTAAACCAGCACGTGGTCCTTCATATCTTCCTTAATCAGGAAGATTCAGGATGATTTGGAAACCTTGGCCTCAGAAAGGCTTGAGACGGAGCATATTGAGCTCCTGCTTTCTGTTTGTCTGAAGATCTACCCCTTCTTCTCTGTACAGGGTGGGTGACTTCTCCAGGTAGGTGCTTTCTATAGCCCCTCTCAGAGGACGTGATTAGCAGAGGGTCCTGAGTAAGTTAACTGAACGACTCAGACAAACGTTATTTGGGCAGTACACTTCTTCAGGATAACTGCTGCTGCTGTTCAGAACGTGCATTATGCCCCACTGTGTTACATGTCGTGCTGGCTGCCGTTCGAAAGTATTTGCTTTCCACATTC